AAGAAATCTCCAGCCCAATTCAAGATCAAGCCTCGACGGCCCTTGGATCGACATCTACAGTAAGGGACTTCAAAACGCATCTCCTACACGTGACAAACACATGTATACGACGTGCCTTGAAGTGGGGGCATTTGTAGACATCGAAATTTCGTAAATAAATATTGACCGATAAATCAAAGTGTCAACGCTCATGTATTACATAAATTTTACACGTAGCGTGTGACTCAACGAAAATTGAAATGAGTTGGAAAAGTCATCAAATATGACACGTGTCAACACCTGGCAGAAACGACTTGTTTCATCTAGGATATTATATTCAAAATTAGGCATTGGAAAATTCTATAAATACAAGCCCATTTCATTCATTTAGGGGGGGAATTGATATTACACCTTGAAGCTCTGAAGCTCTGAAACTCCGAAGCTCTCAAGCATCCAGGTTCCCGAAGAATCAAGAAAGCCTTCTTCGTTCTTCGTTCATCGTTCTTCCAAGATCAAGCCCCGACGGCCCTTGAAGAAAAGTGTTCTTCGTTCATCGTTCTTCCAAGATCAAGCCCCAACGGCCCTTTGGATCAACAATCATCCACCAATTCAAGATCAAGCCCCGACGGCCCTTGAAGAAAGCACCATCGTTCATCATCCGTTCATCCAAGATCAAGCCCCAACGGCCCTTGGATCAACAACGTCGACAAATCCACACATCCAACCGTTCTTCAAGATCAAGCCCAAAAGCCCTTGAAGATCCGTTCATCACTGTTCTTCAAGATCAAGCCCAAAAGCCCTTGGAGATCCGTTCATCACTGTTCTTCAAAGATCAAGCTCAAAAGCCCCTTTGAAGATCCGCTCAAATCCACCTTCAAGATCAAGTCCACGGCCCTTGAAGAACATTCATCCTTAGATCAAGCCCAACGGCCCTTTGGATCAATCGCACATCCACAAATACACACCTTACGGAGATCGAATCAGAGGATCAAAATAGAGAGAGATTGTAACCCAAAACTATCAAATACAAATATTTGTTTGTGCACGTCGTTTCTTGTCTCTTTCGTTTCAGGAATTTTCCGTGTTCACAATGACATTCTAAGTGTAATTCAATTTATCTCTTCTGAAACTTAAGCTATTAAGAATTGGATCAAGAATGTATATCAAACTAATTGTCTTTTTTGAATTCGACTTTGCATGAAATAGTTGAAAATATATGAGGCTTGGAGATTTACAGCCTAAATCCCCCTCAACCGGAGCTCTAATACCATACAAAAAAATTAAGATATATAACAATGTGTGATTGATTTGAGCACCGTCATTGACTAATAAAGACATCCAAGTATATTTCAATTCTCACTTCTAAATAAGAAAGTGTAATCATTTTTAATCACAATATGAAAATCTGTTTATTTAGAGTATATTTAATCATAAATACCCAAAGTGTAATCCAATGGTAGCAAACATCTCAGTTGATAGATTACACAAGATATAAAAACTGATAATTCCTTTAAAATACTGTGAAACCATTTATTGATTATTGTTGTTGCAACTTGCATTGCATGATTTGCATCCTCCATTTCAAAATAATGTGACCGTTTAAAAAATCATAAATTTACCCTGCAATACCTTACAGAAACAGTCTAGTCTATTGGTTTAAGTTTCCTTGATAAATCACTTATCCAAAACTTATGGAAGTTAGTTCACTATCAACATAACTCCTTTTATGTGCAATATTCATGTCATCTATTATGGAGAAATTGATATCGAAAGATGAATAGATTTTCAAATCTGTTCGTTGTATTATCTTGTGATGTTATTAATTTATTTATATTCATATCATTCGGGAATAGTGTTACCGATTCACACGTGTGAGAAGAAGTTGATAAATGCGATGTAGAGAGACTGCATATCAGTCTGCATATTCAGACTGAATTTCTCTCATATATTTAATGCGTTGCAAGTTGCAAGCGTTGGCTCAATCGCATCCAAGTAAAAATAAGGAAAGACTGTTTGGATAGGGTAAAACTTAATTTCGATGGAGCAGTTAGAAATCTTATATTTCTTGTCTTGGTTGGTAAGTCGAAAATCATAAAGGAAAAAGAGTGGCATAAACATTTTTCTAATTTGCCAGCGATCCGGAAAGTGGACAGGCTAGCCATTTTTCAAGTGGTAAAACGCGGTAATTATCAAAGATGACTATATAATTATCATGGAGCAGGAGGGTGAGTAAAAATGAGATTTTCCCAAAACAGTGTATCTTCAAATAGCTTTTGAGAGCTTAAATTCGAAGTAAATTTGCATGCACCGGATGTATATCCATTATTGCATCATGTTCATTAAAACTCAAAAGAAACTTATACGAGGAGACATGAAGATAAGGAGTGCATGTAAGAGTAATTTGAAATACTCCAAGATTATCACACAACTTGTAAAAATCATAATCATACTCCAACAGTGCATACTTGTTGCATGCAAGTTTTTTCTACTTCAAACTCACAGCGTGGATTAATTAAGTCGGCTATTTGGATCATACCCATGACCCTGTTCATAACTTCATGCAAACCCTAATTTGCACGCATAAATAAGTCCATTGGCAGACAACTACTGCATCCCAAATTAGAAAGAAACTTGAAAGGGTGGCAACTGGTATATATGCCAGTCGAAATCATGCGATCGAGACACGCAGCCCTAACACATCACACTTGCTGTTGCTGCTCAATATATATATTTGCTACAAATATCAATCACAACTCGGTGGGCCATTGTTGGTTGTGGATATAAATTTAAAAAAAAAAACCTATGAAAACAAATTCCAAAATTTTTAATAAATAAGTAAATAGGTGGAAACTATCACACGATTTCGCTCTCAAAATTATGAAGTTTTGTTACGAGGACAAAAGTTGATGGGTATCAAACCAGAACCCTAGCGATATTCTTTCACTGAATTGACATGTCCAAGGCCATGGAACATCTTTTTCTTAGGGACAGAGACACAATGAGTGACTGTGCATGTGAAATCATAAACTCCTCTCATCTCTGTGAAAGCGACATGTGCAATGAAAAATGAACACCCAAATCTCTCTGCAACAAAAAACTTGGCCAAAGGCCAACGTTGGCATGGAGGAAAATTGTTGGATTTTTCTTTGGTTTTTGGAAAATGTTGAATCTAGGATTTTGTTTTCATTGATCTATGCCTTTTTGTTTTTATGGAGGCCCATAAATTCTTCCATCATCGATAACAAGCGAGCCGGCTTAATAGGCCTGGCAACTTTGGAGATTTCTTTTGGGCAAGTTGTCCCATACTTCCACGGTTCCACCAAGAAGCTTGATGTTGTATTTATAGATTTTAGAGGTATGGGCCGATTCCTCCACCCTCTCCCACGAACTCGTAAGAAACTGGCAATTCCTCTCTTGAATTTCACTTTTAGCCGACTATCCGTCTGTACAATTTATCTCTTGAATTTTAATTTTAGCCAATTTCTTCCTGAAACTTTTATAATTGATCAATTTCCCTACTAAACCTTAAATTCAAATAAAATATGTATGGAGTGAACTAGCGGGAAAAAAGAAAAGAAAAAGAAAAAACAATATGTTGTCTACATTGGGGATATAAATTTAAAGTTCAAAGGGAAATTGGTCAATTATGAAAGTTCAGGGGGTAATTTGCTAAAATTAAAATTCAGAGTGGAAATTAGCCAATTATAAAAATTCAAGAGAGTGCTTGACTAAAATTAAAGTTCATAGGACAAAGTGAAAGCTCCTTACTAGTTCAGGAGGGGAATCCACAAATACCTATAAATTTGAAGGTGTTGTTTGATGTCTAAGATTGTATTGGATAAGATAATTACTTGCTATATTTAACCTATATGGGAGCGAAAATTGAATGTTAGCTTTTTAAATTTTGTTCAAGTTAAAAGTGGAAGACTAATACACGTACTGTAAACAAATGTTTGTAGAGTCACTTTATTACTCTACAAGTGTCAATTGAAACTTGGGTCTCCAATTTGGTGACTAGCTTTGTGGAGTCTTGTAGAGAATTTGTTTTTAATGTGGCTTCTACATTTATGTTGAAGAAAGGAGTTGCCGAGTTTTTAGGAGTTGATCTGTATAAACTTAGCCAAAATCATGGTTAACCATCAAAGGTGGATGAAGGTTGATCAAAAGGTGGTGAAGATTATCTGCACGAACAAATAACACGAAGATAATTACCCATTCTTGGGAGGAATCTAACTTACAACTGTGGATAAACTTATGTTTTCGTATATCTCGAATCACATAACTGAAATACAGAAAGAATGAGATTTATCGTATAAGACAACTAGACAAGCAAGAATCTCCTAAAAATTAAGACATCGGTATATAATTTGTACCTTATAAACTCGGAAACCAACATTACAAAATTTTGGAATAATATTTTCCAGTAGACAAGATACCATTCTTTAATTAACCACTTGACAATAGTTTTCGTATTTTTAAACGGTGTGTGGCTCAAGAGGCACCTGTCACATTGTTTAATAAGGGAAATGGAACTTAGATTTGTTATCAGATTGCGTGATTTTTTTATTAATATGGGACGCATCTGTGATACAATTTTTTATAGACAATCTTTGATGTTTTTTTTGTGAATACCACTTCATAATATATTTTAACGATCTGAACCTTTTATGTTTTAAGTCTTCGCTTAAAAGTATCCAAATCTAAAACTATGTGACCGTCGAATTAAGCGTTTAGGGTTTCTTATAGAACTGTATTAGTCCATTTTCTTCACTACAAATGAATGTCTTAGTAATTTTAAATTTGTCTAATTTTTTTTGCAAGGAATATGTATGAATGATGTTTTAAAAGATAGATGGTTCGAATCTCAAACTACATTACAGAGTGCGCCTCACAAAAACGTATGCCAAAAATTATGTAAAAAAAGTGATGCCAATGATCTGACCCGTTAAATATATGTAAATATCTTAAGTAAATATCCTAATATCATGTTTTGCGCAACAATTAACAAGTCGCCTTTAACGGAAACATAACAAAGTTGTTTTAACATTCAACTATGCAATTTACTGCACACATGGAAGGATGACAACCGAACCTCATTACAAGATTCCGAGTTTCCCATCGCCGGACGAAAGTTTTGTCATCGGCCCGAGATCGATTTTTGGCTCAACAGTTCTTTAAAAGTCCAAACATGTCCGAACCACAATTTATAAACCAAGGCCGACTGGTTTGCTTGTTCAATCGACCATTACTCTTTAAACTCAAAATTTGTTAGGCTTTTAAGTCTAATAGAAGTTTTATTAACCTAGGCATACTACGATGATCCCATAACCATCCCTTCTTCGTGATGAAACGACGCCGGATGATCCGAATTCGGATAAAACACTTTTCGGAGCTGGTTGTACTTTTCGACATCGAACTTATGAGCCTCCATGAGCCGCCGTTGCTTGGCCTTGAAGCGACGGTGGAAGAACCCTTTGAAGGTGGGCTCCGTCGATGTCCGGAGGAAAAAGGCGTAGCCCAAGGCGAAGTCGATGGACGAGACGAAGAAGCAAATGGGCTCCATGACATCCCAGCTCAGCTCCCAGAAAGTGAGCCTCATGGCCCCGATCGTTTGAAATAACAAAAAGCCCAGCCCACAGTAGAGCTCCCCACGGACCAGGGCCCTGGCTTTTTGGTCAATTACCATCTTTTGAGTTTCCATCTGCTGCAGCTCTTTTCTTCTTGGATCGTTCGGGGTGGGCATGGTTTGTGAGATTATGCTCTCCACTGATTTTGCCACCTGTACAAAAAATGACAAAGTTTGTCAGACATAAACCAAAAAGAAAACTACCTATATGCCACGAGATGATATGACAAATGAATCATGCATTTCATAATTCATCACGGTAGGATATATTACTTGTCATAATTAGTCATAATTTGATAAATTAATTGTTTAACTAATTATGTTATTATACTTTATGTACCAGATTGTATTCTCAACGCATTTTAAAATATCTATAAGACAATATCTTTTTATTTATTTTTTCTAAAATAGTGACGATGCTCTCGTTACATGTAAGTTTTTTTACACGTGTGAAACGGCCAGCCATAATGAAGGTTCCTTAACCCTCCACCTCGAGGGTGATGAAAATTGAATTCCAAACGACCTACCAAAATTCCACGGTTTCAGGGTACTCAAGGTCAATTTCATAATTTTACAGATCAAAAACAACAACAGAGAGAATATTCAATGACGTGGCGGGAGAATAAGTAGTAACCTGCTCCGGTCGGAGAAACACCGCGTTTCCCAAAATGATGACGTTTCCGGACTCGTCCATCATCTTCGCGAACTCAGCACCTTGCTCTTCGCTCCCGCAGCCTTCGACGCAGATCCGAACGAACTCCGATCGCGAAATGGAACTCTCAGGAATCTCCCTCAGCTTTGCCTTCAGCTTCTCCACCTGAGAAAGCCTCAGAATCTTCTTAGCGTCGCTGACCGAGATTCCGTACGGAAGCTCGGCGTTGGGGGCCCGATCTGGCGGTGGATGGTTGATACCGCCGAGACGGAGCCGATCAGCGCTAATGTTGATGCCTCTCAGCTTTTCCCGGAGTTTCTCCCCGACCGGAACGGTCAGGAATTCCGGGAGCTTGGCTGCCGACTGTCTGTGGAGAAATCGCCGGAAAAATCCTTTCCGGGGTGTGTCCGTCGAGGTCAGATACTCCCTGTGGAAACTCGCCTGGGCGGCATTCGGGGGTACGATGGTTTGGTGATCCGTAATGACCGACGATGGTGGCGTTAGGGACACTCTGGTGGCGCCAAATGGGCGCTTAGCAAGCGCTTGACGGAGCGCCATGGATGAGTGAGAAAGTAGGGGGAAAGGGAGAGCTCAGACGGTAAGTGTGTATGACGCTCTCTCTTGAGTGTTGAGCCGTTGGGAGTGAGGAGTTGTTATTTATAGGCTGAGTGTCCGACGCAAGCGGAACTTGTTGGAAGATTAACGTTTATGTTTTGGGGAACGGATCAGGATCCTCTCCACAGCAAAGGGTGAGTATCCTGAACAAGCTATCGGGCCGTTGAAATTTATCCAACGGTTATAAATAGAAGATCTTTCTAAAAGTTATGATAATTATAGCCGTTAGATAAAATTTCAACTGTCCAATGGGCTTGGTCAGGAAGATCCTGATCCGAAACGGAACTTTATTTTTTATTTTACTTTTTGTTGCATTATCATTTTCTTTTATCAGAATTTTTGTTAGTGTTTTTTTAATTTTATGATTATCTAAACTTCATATCTGAAAATAATTATTTAATATAAAGATTGATTAGTTGTCTATACGTGTTAAATCAATAAAAAAAATTGATAGTAACTAGCATCCTCATGATGAACCGTTCACTTTATTTTATGCATATAATTGACTAAAAGATTTAAAAATTGAATAATTTTTTTATAGATAGAATCTTTAAATGATGATAAATAAAATAAATAGTTTTGATTATGATGTTTAGACAATAAAAAAAGTTTGTTAATCTTAAGTGGGGTAACAAGTAAGTTCTTATTACATAAAACACAAGCATTATCCGAAAACAATAGGGGCCTACATTTTTTTTATTACTTTAGAGAAAAATTATCAAATTTAAAAAGCTATTGAAAATGAACAAGTTATTGATATTGTTTTAATATTTGAAGGAATAAATATAGAATTTGTGTAATTAAGAAAATCGGGTAGAGTTGATTTGAACGTTACCAATTAGATTTGTATTCTACTTTGCAGGTACGACTCTGATAAACTGACGTCATAGAATGATATTTATGTTAGAAGACCATTTTAAGCTCATATGGTCTTCCCTAAAGCATGGAGAAGGTTATTTTATTGTATCATGTTATGCCACATAATAATATAAAGTTTTATAAGTAGTAGATTGTCATAATGGTTAGGATATTCCTCTTTAATTCATTGTATTCCGAATTTAAACATTTATCCTCTTCCATTAGTATATATTAGTGTAGAGTATCGCTCGTACTAAACACAAATATACATTTTTAATTTCCAAATTGAAAAAAAAAGTGAGAGTGGATTTTTCTTTTGCGTCGACATGTTGTGCCAGCTATATTAAATTCGATATAGATTTCACTGAATTTTATTTGTGCGTCGACAAATTGCATTGGTTGTCGACATGTGAATACTATTTTTATTATGAGTATGATAGGTTTTTGTCTCAGCATCCAGTGCCGTCACAATAATTGTGTGATAGTAAGTTTGCGTATTTTGATTACGTAGAAAAAGATGAGAGTTGAGCTGTTTGCGATTAAAGTTCACTATTTTCTTCACTGACATATATCATTGTATTATATAAATTACCTTATTATAAACTAAGCTTTGAAATTCATTCACTCAAAGGTTAATCAAAATGTCTAAGGGGTATAATAGCTAGTAGATTTTTCTTTGGAGTTCAGCAGAAAACTCAGGGTTATTCCAGAGGTTCTATCGTAATAATTCTCATTGATTATATTTGCCATTATTCTCAGAAAACACACCTTATATCACGAGACTCAAATAACATTGTGACGTACGTCCATCTTGCATGGTCAGCGCTAGCTAGCTAGCTTGCAAAGTTGCAGTCATGCAGGGCATACGTAATCTCTGAGGTTTCTCACATATGAACATATACATGTCAATCGGGAGTTTTTCTTTGCTGCATGTTAGCCTTCTGGCCCTTACTATCCTCACATGCCTGACATTTGCCCTCCAATGTCCAAACTGCTTGGTGTCATGGTGTTGATGCTTCATTGGGTCAGGGCTTGCGTTGCTTTCCGGTTCATCTGGGGGAGATATTAATTCAATCGGTGAGCGAAGACTGATTTTTTTGGGTGTAATTGTGACACAGTTAAGTGTATGATCGATCGTAATTATTCATCCACTCATCGTCTTATGTGGTTGCTTAATTAATCATCCATCCCTAACAAGTTTGCTAACCAAACTTCAGAGTACACGAGAAGTTTGGTGAGGCCTTATTAACCTACTTTGGATCATAAGTTAGTGAAAAATATGAAGTTACATATTGAACATTTCATATATGTTTAACAACAAAGTAAGTAATCAAGTGATACAAGTTCTACGAAGCCTTACAAATTGAAATTATATGGATGACATTTCAATTCCAGAGAGACTGAATCTTCTAATCCCAAATTGATATTATTTATTTTAATTAAGTAGCAACAATGCAGCAAGAATGAGTGTGTTTTTATAAGGCAGTTAGTTTTATTTTAATTTGATATTGTTATATAATTCTATTCGATTGATGAGAGAGTGACAAGTACCAACTTTTGGGCTAGAGATCTACTTCAGATTTCACTGTCCATATCTCAAGGATCACTCAATCCGACCACTCAAATTGAATCTAACGGTCCCTAATAATTCATTTGCTAGCTCATCTCACAAAAAAATCAGAGACTCCAATTTATGTTTCACACAAACCAAGAATATGAATTTCTTGGTCCTTAGGCTTCGGATACTAGGGTCCAGAGAGATCCAAATTTCAACCATTGATGCTTATTTACTCATTTGTCATTGCATTGCAATAATGCTTTCCATTAATCAAAGCTTTCACATTGATCAATAATTACAATATGAGAAATGTTAAGGGGACTCTCTCAAAAGTGAAATTTTCTATGAACTTTCTGCTAGCTCATGTTTTTTGCACAATGTTTTATAATGTTAGCACGATAATTGACGTTAAACTATATGAGGTGGCAGAGAGTCTATAAAGAGTCTCATCTTGAGAAAATCCCCTTAGCATTTCTCTAACAGAAGTATAGCATGCATATAGGGTTACCTAAAACCTTAAATCCAGTGGAAAGGAGATTCTTAACTATCCCGACGTGAGAAGAATCCAAATATATTCACCCTTCGAATTATATTCACCCTTCGACTTAGGAGGAAGAACCAATAATATTCACCCTTCGAATTATATCCTTTTGCAAATTCACTGAATAAGAATAAAAGAATCTCAAACAAATGGGAGTATAGTGTATGCATGGGAATCTTATTAGGCTGTTGGATTCCAAATCTTCAGATTCTTAATCTTAGATATGATCCCGGCCGGCCAGGCCAGTAGTGGAAGTCTACTACCGCCATTTATTTTGCATGTGTGTGGGAAACGAGATGAACCAACTTCCTAACATATTCCTGTCATGTCATTACAATTTGTACACATTTCCTGTCATGTCATTACAATTTGTACACATATATCCCCCCATTAATTATTTTAATTTCATATCATGTTTTGTGCTTGTTGGCATTGGAGGGTACAAATTTAATTATCGTGTAACTAAAGTCAACCACTATTTTCCTTCACTTCCCAAACTTTAGGGTTTCCATGGACCATGGCCATGAGTGGATTAATCAGATTCACATCCATGGGTCTATATTTGATCAAGGTAAATGTTATCCACATATCTATTTTTATTTCTCACACACATTTTTTAATCCGGTCACAGATCGAGTGAATTGAAAAAGATCATAGCAAAAAACAAAAAAAATAAAAAATAAAACTATGTAGGATGTAAAAATAAATGTGTGAATAGAACTATCCCTAAACCAAAATTTGGTTGTAAGCTATAGTTTTAACATTTTTTTCCTCCAAGCTTTGAGCCGTAATTGCTTCAACGAATCTAGGGTTTGTCAAATATTTCGACGTAAGCCCCACTAGCCAGGATTTTATTCTTTGGTATTTCATATTTGCAAAGCATGGAACTTTGGAACCCCACCCTAATGGACCATGGTGATTTCCATTTTAGTTGGCAAAACCATGCAGTTTTCCGACGAGGTCCACTATGTCGCCTCTTTTTATTTTATTTCGGCCAGTGAGGTCCACGTTAGTGACAAATTTTTTGGTATATGTTGAATATCGTCACATCGTAGTATTATTTCACTCAAAGTATAAGAACAAGTATTTATTTTTTTATTAACATACATTAGAACTTAGAAGTGAGATATATTAACCATATGTTACCCACTCATAATATAACACGTGTAATGATGAGGCACTAAGTGATGAATATTACGAGCAAACCTAACGATTTCTCTATGTTAGGACGATAAAGCTATATATTTATAATTTGAAATTGAAAGAAATTCCTGGCTCCAATTATCATGTTCAGGTATACATAGATTTATAGCCGTGGATTAATTTTTTTTTTTTTTTGTCAAATGATAGATTTTGTTAGATTTGATGTTAGATTAGTCACCGACGAAATTTAAATCTACATCGTCATACCAGTGCTCGACTCCTTTCTACCACTATGGTAAAGGGCCATTTGCATAGCCGTGGACTAATTAAGCTTGCCCAAAAATATCTCATGAGCTTCGGTATATTTTTGTGGTTAAATAATCTTGGATGGAGATCGATCGTAGAGCATTTTATGCATAAGCAGCTAATTCGTTAGCAAAGCCTATTTCCTAGCTCACACGTATATAGTGAATACGTGAGGGTGAAAAGCAAACCTGAGAAGGAGAAAAGTAGGCTGATGCAATGGAGGCAGATTCTCTGCCCTCCCACTTCCCTTGCCCTTCTGATTTGTGTGGTTACGGTTAAGCCACATCAACATTTTATATTATTTTTTTTATAGAGATAATAAGACAAAAATGAATAGTAATATAAAATGTTGACGTGGATTAACTGTGATCACACAAACAAAGGGCCCGGGAGGGCACGGGAAGTGAGAGGGCAGAGAATCTGCCTCCTGATGCAAAACCTTTGTGCCAATTATTTGGACTTAATTATTCACAAAATTGACACACACAATCCAAAAAGTTCATGGTAAATTACTCTGTGAAAAGCATATAGAAATACAAATTGTTAGCACCAGAAAAGTTTACTTAGTGCAAAATGACAAGCATATTTAGGGTGATTATTTAACTGCACCTCACCAGTGCGTTCAATTTCTTTGCTATTTGTTATATGATGGAGATCGATCGATATATAACCTAAGCCATAGTT